CTCTTCAACTGTGTGATTGCGTGTGTGCGAAGTTAAGTCACGATTATGTATTTGTGCTTTTGTAATATTATTGTCTGCATGACACTTTTTAAAATTTGTAATCTTTAACGTTAGTCAATATAACTTTATAAAAAATGTAACCTGTTATTTACAATGATGTAATTCTGGGTTTCTTTAATAAATTAGAATTACAGTAAGCAATGAATTGACAACACTGTTACATTTTTTTTAGAGAAATCACTTTTTTTATTTTGATTTACTCAATCAAAGCCATGAACTTGCAAGGATAATTTCTTTTACTGGCTGTTCCCGTCTATGATTCTCCTTTTCCTTATCAAGCATTTTGCTTGCTTTTGCACGCCTTCTTTGCATGTCTGCTTTGGGAAATGGGAATATTAGTAGGTTTAGTATGAAGATGAAATTAAGCATCAAGTTTCTGTCTATGAATGGACTTTCTCTTGTGGAAATATGTATCAGCCTTTGCTTCTAGACTTCATGTCTGACTGCTTTTGAGTCCTTTTTCTATGACCAACACTTTCTGGTATCAAACTTGGTGAAAAGTAACTTTGGTCTCAGGAAATGTGTGATTGTTGGAGTAGGTGAGTAGCGACTTTTAGGCAGAGAAGTGTATCAATATTATACTGTTTGCTCGGCCATCTTGCTTTACCGGCCTTTCCTCGCCCTCCCTACATGCAAATTTTATCAACGTTTTTCTTTAATCTTAACAATTTGTGAAATTATTTATAACATTTTTCATGAAGGATGAGGCTAATTTTAATGAAATTTCTTATCCATAATATTAAATTGGCATGTTTTGAAATAGTTTGTTTGAAGCAGAAATGTAAAATGGATAACATTCTGTTACTGGAAAGTGAGTTTGAGATGTTTTAAATTCTTTACATTATGGCTTTCAGGCTTGATTTATTCAGATGCAATGAATTAGAAATTGTGGATCTGAAATATGTTTCCTGAGTAGATTGCTGTTAATTTGTTCAAAGCTCAATAATCCGGGACATTCTAAGTGCTCTGAAATTTATGTGAAGACCACTTGTTTATGGGGGCTTTCCCTGCTTGATTTTTTCTCATGAAGTGTCATGGGATAATGTAGTATTCTTGGTTTCCTTTGATATCTTTTTATCTTGGAAGTTTTGTGGAAATGTTTCTGCATATTTTGATCACGGTGACACCACTGTCTCTTTGGTCTTTTACTCCATTTGACTATTTTCCTCTTGTTCTGTAAAGGCTATTTTGATAATCAGTGAATTTTTATTTGTTATTTGAAAAATTTATCAACAATAATCCAACCTTTGTTTCATTCTCCCACAATAATCCAACCTTTCAATTAACCTTGAATAATCCTAAGTTTACCTATTATTATCTCCCAGCAAACCTAACCGGCTGAATAAGTCAACATTTGGTTTTTTTTTTTTTAATTTTTTTTTCCTTCCCCCCCCCCCCCCTATTCTCTCCTCCTCCTTCCTTCTTAATTCCAAGACTTCTAACTGACATCAATGTAGGATGGCTAACCCACCATCCTTTAAACACCACCACCACACAACAACCCCACCCAACAACCTCCACCCAGCCACCCCCTCATCCTCCCCGGCCTATTGCCGCTCCCACCACCGACTACCAGTGACACACCACTCCCTTTCCCCGCCTCCACGCAGCCCCCTTGCCCTTCCCCACCCCTAAAACCACTGTTACTTCCCACCATACTCTTACCCCCGAAACCACCACTCTCTCCCACCCCCACCACCGAAACCACCACTCCTCCATTTCTCAAAACCTTACATCTTCATCTCTCTCTCAACTTAATTTCTCTCTCCTCCTTGAAACAACCACCACTAGCCCATTGTCAACCCTCGTTGGTTTGGGGTTTTAACTTTGTGGGTGATTTGTAGTGCGTGTGGTGGTGGTTCGTTTGAAAGGAGTGGTGAGATTCGTGGTAAGTGGTAAGTGGTGGCTGGTTAGCGAGAGGTTTGCAGTGGTTCGTGGTGATGGTGGTTTGTGATTCATGGTGGTGGTGATATCATGTTGGTGTGCGCTATTGTTGGTGGGTTAGTGCGAGGGAAGGTGAGGTGGTTATTGAGGAAGACCATGGAAGGTAGAGGAGAGATGACTTATCCAATCGAGAATTAATTTTCTTGAGCTCATCCAACAATGCCGCAAATTCAACTTGATTCACCATGTTTAAGTGAATAAGAAAACACACAAAACCAGTCCACAAATTGATCGAAAGTTCGAGGAGAAAAATCCAATCAAAACACCTCAAAAACTTCTGAAATTTTGTATGATGCTAGCCCTATATGTCTAAAATACTCGACCAAGTAAGCCAAAAAATTCAAGCCAAGTGATTGCAGATTATTTTTTTCTCAACACTGCTAGATTAGTTTGATTTTTGACCAGTTGCTAAAAACGAATCCAGTTTAATATTTACGCTCCTTGAAAAATTCTCAAATTTTGCAGGTGAAAACTAGACCAAAATTTAACAAATTTAAAAACAGAATCACCTCAAAAGCTTAAGAAACGAAGGAGAACAAAGCCAAACAATCTGACCTACAAAACTGATTTTTATTAGGCCCGATTTCAACAAAATTTTGCACGAAACTTCAAGAAGTGCACCGTTTCCCTCGCCTAACAGCAGTAGCAGCAGCCACACCAATTTGATGCGTATTTTTATGTGCTCTTCGGGAAATTTGGGGATATGAAGCTATTTAATCTAACCAAGACTATAATAACAACTAAATTGGTAGCTTTCTCAGTAAAAATATCATATGCAATTCTCTTGCTAAAATAATTGATCAATTATAACTCAAGACTTCTTTGCCTTCATTAATACAAATAAAGAATATTTATAGGCAAACATCCCATGCCGTTAGGATTACTAAAAGATAAAATAAAATATATAAGATATAAATACTAAATACTAATCCTAAAAAACAAAATTTATCTTCTAATAATATTAGAAAATAATATCTTATCAATCTACTAATTCTACTCCAACTCTAATTCGATTAATCACCACTACTAGAAAACACCTCATTTACGACGGATAAAATTCGTCGGAAAAGGCAGTTTTCGACGGAATTTCGTCGGAAACCGTTGTCGGAATTCACTTCGTAGGAATTTTGGCCAATACCGAGGGATTTTCCGTCGGAAATGACCATGCCGACGGATTTTCCGACGGATTTTTATTTGTCGGAGCCTTTGTTTGACCAGAATGGGAAGTCCGCCGCAAGCTTCCGTCGAAACGTTTCTCAGATTCCGACGGAATATTCCGTTGGAACTGTTTATAAGTCCGATGGAATATTCCGTCAGAAGCTAAGCTTGTTCCGACGGATATTTCCGTAGGAAGCAGGCAGGGTTCCTACGAAATTTTCCGTCGCAACTTACCGACGGAAAATTCCGTCGGAAACTTATACCCATTGCGACGGATTTTAAATCCATAGGAACTTTGCGACGGAAATAACGACGGAACTTTTTCGAGTTTGACTATTTTCCTACGGCACATTGCTATCCTTTGATACCTGCACTTCCTGCTTCTTATATTAACGACAGAATAAAATTAATGGTTTTTGTGCAAAAAAAAAAAAAAAAAAAAAAAAAAATATATATATATATATATATACATATATATATATATATATATATATATATATATATATATATATATATATATATATATATATATACTAATTCTAATCTGTACAGCCAAGTAATTCAGCTAAAATTAGTACTAATAAACACTACGTTAATTACAGCTAAGCAACTGCGAGAGTGCCCTGGCCTGCTCCACCACCACCCGGGTCATCGTCCCTGGGATCTCGAAATGGAGGTTGCACGGTGGAACAAGGGTCATTGTCGTAACGACTCATCATTCTCTCTTCCAACCTCTTCTCCATTTCTTCCATTTGGGCTCTTACTAAGGCATGAACTCGGGCTTGCATCTCGAGTTCAATTTCTTCCCGAAGAGCCTGCACTCTGGTTTCCACCTGATCCTGCATCTGAGAAACAAGGGAGGGCGTGTACTGCATGGAAGATGTGGAAAGTCGACCCATCTGGCTGCCATAGTAAAGATCAGCACTTCCGCCAAGTGATATAATACAGAAGTTATACATAAAACTAAATTAATACAACATCTAAAACATGTATTAACCAAGACCCAAAAATATCATACGCTAAACAAGTTCCACCAGTGTTCCTTCGTAGCTGCAGGAACTCCTCCGAACTGTGAGCTTCACTAGCTCGTTCATCTGGGGTGCCCATCTGAATTCTGCCTGCAAATGATAAAATACAGAAGTTATGCACAAAACTAAATCAATACAATATCTATAACATGTATTAACCAAGACCCAAAAATATCATACGCTGAACAAGTTCCACCAGTGTTCCTTCGTAGCTGAAGGAACTTCTCCAAAGTTCCTCCAAGGGCCTCGGTAGTATTCAGCAATCGTACCGGATACCGCACTCCGAACCTTAGGATCATCAAACCTATAACAAACGGGAAACAACAATGTTAAACAAGTTCGAAAATAGTAATATAAGCCTTGTATCTCATCATCCATATCATGATATGTACGTACCACAGCGTAGTAGGGTCCAAACACGGGAGCTGTGACTCATCCTGTGACTCATCCCGTGGCCCATCTTCTGGAGGAGTGGATGGGGACGTCTAATCCTCACCTAAATTGGCTGCCTCTGCATCGAACATCTCCTCATTCTGGTCGTCGTTGAAAAGGGCGCGGGCGGTCATTTTCTCTTTCCCTTTTACTTTCTTCGACGATTGCCCACTTTTTCCACCCGCCATGACTACCTGAATCAGATGTTAGTAAAATGACAAGATATTATAAATAACAAGTGCAGTGCAACGTAATATGGCTTTTATACAAACACTAAAAAGTTTTACATAAGCCTAATTAATATTTTGATTTTACAATAAGAAGCATACTTTTTAAGGAGATTAACATATTCTCCTACTCAGTACTCTCATCACTACTTTAACTACTAGAGTCATCACTACTATCATCTAATACTACATCGATGTCATCATCATCGTCACTATCACTAGAGCCGATACTAGATTCATCATATTCATCGCTTGAGATCACAAAGTCATCGTCATCGTCTTCATCATCATCATCCCTGGCGTAGTCCGGAATGTCATTCGGTGGGCAAATCGTTGCATGTACTGTTGGGGATGGTGATTGCAGAAACTCTAAGTCCACCGGAGCATCAACCACTGACCGTGCTTGTGTTTTAAACACAGACCACCATTGAACACGGTCCTGTTTCAGGCTAGGGTATGATGCGTAGTACATTTGAGCCACTTGGTAAGATAAGACAAATGGATCATATTTGGGGTATTTCTTAGTATGATTTACTTCGATTAGCCTGTATTGTTCGTGTATGTTCATTCCCCTGCCACAATCCATCCAATTGCACTTAAACAAAATTGTCTTGTACTGTCTCTTGGGTCCCGTGTAGACAAGTTCAATTATGTCGTCTAAATTGCCAAAGTACTCTCCGCCATCCTCACTTGATACACACACACCATAATTCATGGTGAATTTGTGCTTGCCATGGGCATGTGTATGGAAATTAAATCCACCTACAAAAATCTGGCCCCAAGTACGAACTCGCCTGAAGGGACGCATGCACAACGCTCGCAGGACATTCGAATTTGGCTTCTCTTCGACCACCTATAAAGTGGTTGAATATCAATATCACGGTTCCTGAATTCAATGAATTGAAATGCAAGATGTAAAATACAGAATTATTTCACGGTTACACCGCGTATATCACCTTGTGATGAAACCAATTAGAAAATTCAGCTTCGAAGTTCTCCATGACTTCTTCTCTACGCAGGAAAGGTCGAGTACTAAGAATGTAGTCCTCAAACTTCCTACGAGGCCAAACACACAATGTAAATCTACAAAGTCATCATTGTAAATGATCGTATATACGAATACACTGAATACCTAGGCCTAATATACCTTTCGTATTCGCCAAGAATACCGGTGTTTCGTAACACGAACAAATGTGCACACTCGAGTTCTTTGTCATCTAACAACCGAGTTCTACCCTCATTTGACACACGACCACTGTCCTCTTTGAACAACTCTAATATTTCAGCGTCGTCCAATGTAATCTCAACGTCGGCATTCACATTTCGACCAAGATCTCGAGTTTTAGTGTCAACTGTCGACTGAAAGTAATTGGAGCAGAAGTTTGCTATCTCTTTAGTGAGATAAGCATTGCATATGGACCCTTCAACTCGAGCCTTGTTCCCAATTTTCCGTTTCAAATGATTGAGGAACCTGCAATTACAGTTGTTATGTAACTGTATTAACAAGTGATTAGGGTGTAAAACAAAGGATGTGAAATAAGGGTATTTGATTTACCTTTCGAAGGGATAAATCCATCTGTATTGTACAGGACCACATAACTTCCCCTCGTACGACAAATGTATTGGCAAATGCTCCATGGAGTTAAAGAATGCAGGAGGGAAGATCTTCTCAAGCTTGCAGAGGATCTCAGGTATGTTTTTCTCCAATTGCTCCATGTCACTAACTGATGTTGTATAGCAACACAAGTTGCGGAAGAATTGACTGATCTCTGTAATTGCATTCCAAATATGGCCGGGGAGCAATTCCCTCAAAGCTGTGGGCAACATCCTCTCCATGAACACGTGACAGTCATGGCTTTTCATTCCATGGAACTTACACGCTTGCAAATCTACGCATCTGCTCAAATTGGAGGCGTAACCATTAGGGAACCGCAACTGCTTAACCCACTCACACAAAACTTTTCTCTGAGCCTTGTCAAGAGCGAATGGAGCCTTTGGCATGACCTCTTTTCCTCTATCATCCTCTTGAAGATGAAGCTGGGGACGTTTACAATATTTGGCAATGTCATTCCGAGCAGATGGCGTGTCACACGTATGCTTTTTCACATCCATTACAGTGTGAATTAACTGATCGAAGAAGTTCTTCTCCATGTGCATGACATCTAAGTTGTGACGAATGAGGAGATGCTTCCAATATGGGAGCTCCCACAAGGTGCTTTGCTTGAATCACCCCTTCTTTTCATTTTTCAGCCTCTTAATTGAATCGGGTCCATATGTAGCCTTCGGGAGGTCCTTCACACATTCCCACAGCTCCTCTCCTGACATGATGTGTGGAGGGGCACCTTTCCCTACTTTGTTTTTACAGAATGCAGTTTTACTGTTCCGAAAAGGGTGATATGTCGGAAGGAATTGTCGGTGGCAATCAAACCAAGTAACTTTACCACCATGTTCGAGCCAAAATGCTTTGCTCTTCTCCATGCAATGTGGACAAGCTTTCTTACCAGCTGTGGCCCAACCAGACAACATGCCATAAGCCAGGAAGTCACTAACGGTCCATAGGATGGCTGCTCGAAGATTTAAATTATGTTTCTTCGAATTTCATAAGTTGCCGCGCGAACTTCCCACAACAGTTTCAACTCCTCTATCAACGATTGCATGTAAACATCCAAGTTGCCCTTAGGGTTTTTAGGACAGGGAACGAGTAACGAAAGGAACATGAATTGTCTTTTCATGCACATTGAGGGAGGCAAGTTATAAGGGGTAAAAATGACAGGAGAACAAGAATATTGTCCCCCAAACTTACCATGAGGAGCAAAACCATCTGTACACAAGCCAAGTCTCACATTACGAGGCTCGAGAGCGAACTCTGGAAACCGACAATCGAGGTGTTTCCAAGTTGCACTGTCACTAGGGTGTGCCATTGTGTCTTAAACTCGGGGATTTTTCAAATGCCATGTCATTTCCTCCGAAATGTTCTTCGTTGCAAATAGTCTTTGCAACCTGGGTGTGATCGGGAAATAAAACAAAACATTCAAAGGCACTAGGCTACCTTTGGAAGTCTGCTTGTATCGGTCGCTGCCACACACCCTGCATGCTGACAACTGAGCATCATCCTTCCAAAACAACATACACCCTTTCGAGCATGCATGAATCTTTTGATGGGACAGTTCCAGCCCCTTCACAATCTTCTTCACCTCGTAAAAAGTGTCGGCCATATGGCTGTTGTTCGGAATCGCCTCACTTAGCAAAGAAGCAAACCCATCGACACATCTGTGAGGCAAATTATACTCACATTTTAGACTAGTGATTCTAGCGGCCATCTCAAACACAGACAAAGAACTCCCTTCGTATAATGGCCTTTCAGAAGCCTTCAACAAATCCAGAAAATGCTTAGCAGTTGCATTAGGCTCCTCCTCTGATGAAACACTAGCCTCCTCGGAGTGCCCCTGGTCTAAACTATGACCAAAAGCATCAAAGACCATGTCACGATATTCATTGGACCGCCGTTTGGGAACTCCCGGATACCCTTCCCCGTGACACATCCACTCATAGTAGTTAGGTGTGAAACCCTTGTGATACAGATGAATTTTAACCGTATCCGCATCCCAAAGGCGTTTGTTCTTACATTTAACACATGGACACCTAACTTCATTCGGGTTACTACTCTCAGGATGATCTGCGACGTACTGAATGAATTCATCAACCCCGTTCACGAACTCGGGATTAATAATTTGCCCAACCATCCTTTCATACATCCACCTACGTTCTCTTCGTTTCATGATTACAGCTTCTACATAGCTCACGCATATGTACAATCACATTAATCATAAACCGTATTTCGCAGTCATTATCCACCAAAGCGTTATGGAAATGCAAATGAGATTTGAAATGCTTCCAAAGGGTCCTTATCACTCCAACCTAACCCATCCATGTACGTTTATTCTCACTAGCGAATGTAACCCAGGTTTTCAATTCTATGGAAAATCCGCCAGCATTTCCGTACAGTTCTCCAAGTACACTATGTAGGCGATTAAACACACCTACATATGTACCCAGAGAACACGGTAGAGAAATGCATGAAAAGGCAGGATTTTCCCTAGAATAAAAAACAAGGCTTACATTCACCACCTAAGTGAGAATAAGCGTACAAGGACAGTCCCAACCGGGGACTATTCAAGACATACTCCTAATGTGTATGCCTTGAACGGGTATCTAGGCATATGGTTATGCAAATGATTCATTTATTACATATATATATATATATATATATATATATATATATATAAAGTGAAGGACACATGCATTTTACTAAACAGAGATATATCATAATTAAACTAAACTAAGTAAATAAATAAGAACGCTTATTAAATATTATATTAAACATTATATCAAACAAAAATATTAAACTAAATACACTAGCATACACTTTATTAAACAAAAATAAACTAAGTTTAACTAAACTAAACTAAACTAAAATAAACTAAACTAAACTAAACTAAAATAGACTAAACTAACATATTAAATTACCCTAAACTAAACTAACATGTTATAATACAATAATTAAGAACTAAACTTAAATAAACTAAACTAATCTAACATATCATAACATTAACACATTCAATTCAAATATTTCAACTAATTAAAATATAAATACAACAAATTGTAAATACAAAAACTAAAAACAATAATAAACTAACATATATCTACACACCATTAGGATCTAACATGCCAAGTATAAACTAAATTCATACATTTAGCTTTAAAATACTCTCTAACCTGTAGATTTGAAGATGTTATTGCCAAATAACCAATTCAATCTACAAATCCTACAAATATTCAAATTACAAATAAAAAATAAACAAAAAATAAAAGTATAAACTATATTTATAATTTTAGCTTTTAAATTTATGCTTGTATTTTGTATAAAAAAAATGAATATTGATAGATGTAAACTTTTATTAAAAAATAAACAACAAAAAAAAAACAAAAAAAAAAAAAAAATAAAAAAAAAAAAAAAAAAAAAAATTGGGAAAACCGGACACTACCTGCTGGCGACGGCGGCTGGTGGCCGCTGTGGTTGGCCGGCGAGTGAGGCTTTGGGGTTGGTGGTTGTTAGTAACAACTCCGGTAAGCCCTAGGACATGGTGGTGGTTAGGGTTTTCCGGAAAAAAAGAAAAAAAAAATTAAACCACTTACCGGCGGCGGTGCAGCAGCAGAGGGGCGGTAGGCGGCGGTGTGCGTGGCCCTCTCTCTCTTCCTCTTTCTCCTTCTCCCTTTCTCTCTCTTCCTCTTCCTCTTTCTCCTTCTCCCTTTCTGTCTCACACTCCCTTTCTCTCTCTGTGTTTTTTTTTGTCGTTGTGTTCTGTAAAAATCGTGGGTTTTTTTTTTAATTGTTCTAAGCTTCCGACGGAAATATTTCCCTCGGAAAATTCAGGTTCCGACGAAAAAATTTCCGTCGGAAGGGTTTCCGAGGGAATATTCCGTCGGAACCAGAATATTCCAAGGGAAATACAATCCGTCGGAACGTTTCCAAGGGAATATTCCATCGGTATGGAACATTTCCGACGGATTTTTCCTACAGATGCAATTTCCGCCGGAATTTTTGAATTTTCCGAGGGAATTAAATTCCGTCGGAACAATTCCCTCGGAAATAAGCCTATTTCTAGTAGTGCACACGTAACTTTAGGATTGACGCCACTCAACCTCATGATTAATAGACGACTCAATAAAAATAAATAAAAATAATAAAATGATGATATTGATGCCTTGGATACGCATCATAGCTTCATCAAAATAGGGTATGGAGGCCGCAAGTGTAGGCTCAACAGCCCGTAAAATCCAAGACACCAACATTGAATTAACCGTCTACCAATCTAACATCTTTTTCTTCTCGGTCGGTTTGTTGATGGTGCCATCAACAAACCCAATTTCCTTCGAGATTTCAATGATAAGGTAATAGCCCTAGACCATGCCAAATAATTATCGCCCTTCAAGATCACGTGAGTAATCAAATTTTCGGGTTCGTCGTCGGACCCAAGGTAGAAAGGAGATGAGGAATCAATCTTGTCATCCCCCATTGTCGAATAGCAGAGAAATTTTTTTTAGTGTTTTTAGGGTTTAGAGTATTAGTGGCTCCGATACCATGTCAAATTAGAGAGAATGATTTTCTGTGTTTTTTATTAGAGTATGCACAAGGTATTTATACAACCTAAGAGAAGAGTGTTGGCCTCATACATTGGCCCATTAACTAGATACAAAGTTAAATACAATATTAGGGCTTAACAAATAATCTTTGAATAGTAATGTAGTATTGAGGGAAGAGGACATCATATGATTAGTACAAACTACAAAACATGATAATTAAAGACATGGACTTATTTAGTTAGAGCATCTCCAATGGTTAATTATAAGGACTTGCTTGTAATATAAATACCTAGACACCTCCTTATCATTGGAGAACAAACAAACAAACAGAAAGAGGAAAAAAAAAATAAAAAAATAACTTGCAAGCTACTATAGCCCAAACAAGACACATGCTTGCTTGAAAAAGAGAAACCAAATTCCACTAAGTTTGACATCGTTTTTTATTTTCAGTTTTGTGGATTTTTTTTCTTTATTTTTTTGCAAGAAACAAGAAAAAAGTTATTTCTACTTTTCAGTTGTCAGTTTTAAAAATTATCATGCTTTTTAATAAATTTGACTAACTTTTTATTCATTATAGGACATATATTATATAGTTTTGAAAAACAAAAAACTAAAATACAGAAAACTACAGTGATACCAAACGAACCCTAATTTTTTGTTTGTATATTTTTTTGCAAACTACAAGATGTTGTAACTCACTATTGGAACACTTTGTAGCTAATAAGTGTTGTAGCTTAAATTTAATGTGGCACACAAGCTTCAAGATATCGTAGCTTATCAGTAACGAAGCACTTAAGTCTATATACAATACTTATATAAACCCAAAAACTAACAACGTGGATTAATACAATATTAATATACACACGTCACATCTCCTTCGAGTAGGAGCATGAGGTTATAAATGTTTGATTATTTACGAAAAAGAAAATTGAGTGTCATTTCTCTAGAACTTTTGAGAAATGGTTAAT